TCGTCATCTGGATGAAATACTTTGAATTGAAGGTGGTCTACGATCGGGCATCTAAAAAAAGGTCAAAAAAATAAATACAATAATAAAATAGGAATCGTTTTATAAATACTGCAAAAAAAAATAAAAAAGACAAATTTTTTGTTTCTTCTATCAGACAGATGATATGATATGAGATGATTCACTTTTATACAATCTTTTTTTCTTAAATTATTAATACTTCGTGTAGTACATCAATGAAGTTAATTTTATTCGAGTTGAATTACGTATAAAAAAAAGTCGAGGGCGAGACATGACGTATCAAACTATATATAATTTATTTATTTATATAACTAGAAATGCCTATTTACAAATTTTTTTTTTAATTGATATAAAGTCAATTATTTTAACGTCAATTTACAAAGAAGATTAGGTAATTTACGATTTTCTAAGTTAAATCCTTGTATTACTTCTGCCAATCATGTTAATTCTTTTTTGTTCCAAATCTAATAGCGTGCCTATCAGTAAAATTTCTTGCAGGTCCTTGACTTACTCCAAGTATTCCTGCTAGTCGCCATAATACAATAGCGACAATTGAATTTCGTCCAACGACTCGGGAAGGGCCTTCGGCCGAACAAGGGGAACAAGGGGAGGGAAGGTATTTTATAAATAGCAATTTATTTCATGTAGGAGAGGCATCTGAGACAAAAGCTGGATGCATTTCTAATCGAATGGAGCGAAAAGTGGTACGAATAACGCGAAAATGTCTCAAAAAAGAATTATAACCTTCTCCATATACTAAAAATGGAAAACATCTGTCCCAAAACCCATCAGTTTTAGATCTTGGTTGATGTTGCAATCTTGTGTTAGGTTGGGAGAAAAATAAATGAAATAGTTAAATACTAGAAGATGATTAGCATTGGTTATTCTTTGCATATGAAACATTCAAATATTTTTTATTTTTATAAGAAATTGTAACATAAAGAGTGGGATAAAATCTGGCTGGCAATATCTATAATGTAAATTGAGCGATCTTTTTGGTCAGTCATCGCTCTTGATTTTTGAACCAATTTAATAAATCATTTATCGAAAGTTACCTACCTCCCTCAATGTAATTGGCTGGTAATTGATAAAGATAAGTCTTTCAATCTATCAATTATATCACCTCTAAAAAAAAGAAGCCGGCCCTAAAACTTTGGCTTCAGCTCGTGTTCTCCCACATTTACCAACTGAACATATTGCAGCAACAGCAATATCCTGTTACCCTATTAATAGTAAATTTAGCCAATTTGATTTTTTAAGCTAATAAAATAAATTAATAATAACATGGAAGGAGTTGCTCCCATTAGCGCATTTTGGCTATTTACATAATACGCTCTTATAATTCGAATATGACATACTTCGCTCACAAATAATGTATTTAATTAGGGATTTATTACGTTGCCTTAATTACAAAATAAATTTATTCAAAAATTTAATGATTTTATTTTTATATTTTGTCCTTTTATTACTTTTTATCTTCGTTTTTTGACTTAGATAAAATATTTATAATTAATTTCCCTACCCATTATAAATATTAAATGCGTTTACGTCACTGCTTGTAATCTTTCAATTTTTTGATTTTTCTCAGCGCTTGGTAAAAATACAATACAAATCCCATTTTTACTAAGTAACCAGCATGCTGAAAAATCCTTGCTAAATCTCTCGAGTCTCCATACAGGAAAATCTCGAATTTTGACTCAAATGATCTTGATATAAAAGAATGCTTGCTCAATCATTACTTGCTAATCTCTAAATTTATGACGGTTATCTTTATGAATGAATGACTAGCCAAGACTTTGATTAGCGCCGCCAATTTTTTTTTTTTGCGTGGGTGAATGTTTAGTTTACCAGCCGAAGCTCAACGCATACCTCCTAAGGTCCCGAATGAAATTTTCCCGCGAAAATTTTCATAATTAATTTTACTCAAGTTATATATAGGAAAATGTCCGTTTCGGAATATCGGGATGTTCATTCGAGATAGAAATAAGAAAGTTTGTGATTTCAGGAAAGTGTCCAGTTAGGAAATTGGAGTTCGGGAAGTTTACTTCGGAAATGTATATACGGGAAGTAGTACTGTTATTGGTCAGCCAATATAAACATGCTCAGAAACTGCCACTAGTATTGGATCCAACACAAAAAGCAAATTATATATATAATAGGCTAAATATCTTGGAAGATTAGCAAAGATAAATTCATTTCGGTGGAAGATCTCACATTTACGAACATTTCGGATTATTATAAGTTAATATTATTCTGGGCGCGCCATAAATTTTTCTTAAATGTTAACTAAGCGATATATTTTTTATTGCAAAAAATTATTGAAATGAGGTGTAAGACGACAGTAAAAACGATAAAGAGTTATTTGATTTTATTTAATAGAAAATAAAAAATAAAAAAAAAAATGTTTCCTATTTATTTAAGATCGTAAGGAAGTCCGAAATCAAAAATTTAAAAGGTTATAATTTTAATAAAAATAGGTGTCAAATGCCCCCCCCAAATAATTGACAATTTTAGCAAAGTAAATTCTAAACGTACCACCATGATAAAAAGTAAAAAAAAAATATAATAACTAAGATGAACATTATGATATTTAAAATTTTTATTTTGTTCGTTCTTCCCATATCCGCTCTAATTTGTCGCGTCATTTCAGTTTCAAAACGTTTTGGCAATCATTTCGTTATTCATCTAAAAAAAAAAATAATGCTTATAACAAAATGCTTTCTATAGTACAATATGCCTTAAAACAATTGGCAATTTTAGCAAAATAATTTCTAAACGTACCGTTATTGTAGAAAATAAGCATAATATGACAAACTTTATGAAATTATTAACATTCATAATGTCCGTATTATTGATGTCCTGTCTGTCCTATTTAGAGGTTACAGCTGGGGTAGGAGAAGGGAGGGAAGGAAATTATACTGTTGATCCTGTTGGTTGTTCATCTAAAAAAAAAAATTTTAAAGTTTCAGTTGGAACGTTTTATTAAAAGTTTCAAGATGCAAACGAACAATTTTAGTGTACATACTATAGTTTTTTTGTGTGCGTGTCTGGGAATTTTTTTGACTAAAATTAAGACATTACATTTTAATCTAATAACATCAAAAATTAAAATGCAATAAAAATCAAAATTTTTCCCAGAATCTAATTTCCTAGCAATCTTCCCAAATATTATTTGGAAATTTATTTTTGAAAATAAAAACTCTACAAGAATTGCATTTTGGAATGCCTCAAATGGACGAATATTTCATATCGCAAATATCGCAACAACTATTAATCAAATCATCGAACATTTTGGAATATTTAAGAAACAAAGCATAATGTGTCATATTATAACATCTATTATTAAAAAAATTCGAACATTTTGGATTACTTTAGAATAAAACATTACAATTGAATTATATATTTTTCTATTAAATAAATAAAAGTTATAATTACCTTTTGGCCAGCAAAGTTCTACAGCATTGCATTCAGCACGTGAGTCATCAGTTAAAAAAAACAATTGTCAAAATTTTGGTCCACATCCTTAAAAGGTTTGGTGGGAGTATCGTTTTTAGTAAATTTCACTATATAGTCAAACCCTAAATGTCTCTCTAAATGCACACATATATATGATTTCTCTTGAAATGCACACCATCTTTAAATGCACAATTTTTCAAATTTCACTATGCTCCCATGGGGGTAGGTTTGACTGTATTTTTAAAAGTAAAATTAAGAAATTAATAGAATTAAAAAAATAAAACACAAAATTAAGCAGAAAAATGATTACTGCCTTTTCCAATATGGATAGGAACGGTTAAAAAAGAGCGACTTAGAGTCGGTTCTGGAACCGATTCTAAATTCTGAATTTACCTGAATTATAAAAAATATTTACCAATTAAATAGTCGAACCTGAACCAACTATGGACCGGCTCAAAAGATTCGGCTCTAATCGTATCGTCATCAAATTAAGATACAGTAAGTAAATACCGAGTTTGTTTGATAACCAGTCAAAAAATTTTTATTGATCGATCTTAATATACATTAGGAGAGCCGAAGTAGAACCGAAGAGGAACCGAAATGAGATCTGTCACCATCCCTATTTCCCGATGTAAAATCAACCCAAGTGGAAGTGCACCCGTAGCACAATTTCTATATAAAAGTGAAATTGAATTATTTAGAGGATCGAAGGATCAGATGCAATAAAAGGAAAATTCTCTCTAAAAATTGCAACTATCCCTGTAAATATTTAAATAATATTTTTAATAATCAAAGTAAATCTTTTTTAACTTTGATTGTAATTGCATACAAAAATTAAATATACCAAATCTGATTAGAATTGATAGATCAGGATAAAAAAAATCAGGTTCAGGTTAAAATAGATATCATAAATCTGATTTCAAATATTTTATTAATTTTTCGCAATATTAATATAATTAATCTATTTGGTTTTGAATGCACATAAAATAAAGGTCTTTTTAATTGCATTACTAGTTATAATAAATATGGCAATGTAACAGGATTTAAAATTTTGATATAGATAGTATTGAAATTCTATTAATGGTTTTGGAAAATAGCTAAAGTATTTTCAAAAAGATGATAGATTAAGCAAAATTAGTATAAATAAATATTTAAAAAACTCATAATAATATTAAATCAAATGAAGTAATTATTCAGATAAAAAAAAATATTAATTACTTTTATACTTTATACTGTAATTATGATCACATTAGTTCTTTAATAGGCAGAACTTTTAAAATTACTACTTTAAATCTTGCATTATTTACGATGAAACATATTGTGATAAGTGCATAAAAAGACCATTCCTTCTTTTCATATTTTTAATAAGTATACTTATAATAAGTATAATTTTTTATCAAATACTTCTTTGAAGGAGATATGATTTTCTTTTTATAAACATGCCTCTAAATTCCAAAATTGAAAATCATGAAAATTTTTGTTGTAAAAAAAGGATAGATCTTTTAAGAAATTGTTAGATCACCTGGAACTGAATGATAATAATAATAAAAAAAAAATTTGATATTTTTTTTGAAATTGATATAACAAATACTCAAATTCAAGGTATACTACATGTTTCATACTATATTAAGACCTGTTATTACTATACCAATTCATCTTTATTGTTAATTTATATAAAAAATTAAATAATTTAAACTAGAAACATGAAATGTGATTAATTGCTTAAATTATTTACCCAATAAAATTTCACCTATGTGACTTTTGATCTAGTATTACAGTAATAAGAAATAACTTTATAATAAATATATGTATGATAAATAGGATTTCACTAAAAGAGTGACAAATATTTTACTATGATCATGTAAGGTGAAATTTCTATGACGAAATTGGATAAGATCTTAAAATTTGCATAAGAAAGCTAATAATAAATTTTTTTATCTATTTTTATTGATTAAAAATAGTGTTATAAGAATTATAATTATTTAATTTCTCATACCTTTAAATTGTAAAATTCACGTAATAAAACTTATAAATAAAATGATTGATGTTATTTTACATTTTTTTTCAAATTAAGAATACTTTTATTTTTAATTATTTAGCTTATTAATTTGCTTCAGTTTTTTAATTTAAATTTATCTACTTTTGCTCTGTTATGCAAATTTTTTTCGCCAGTTTTATTTGTAATTGTAACTAAATTTATATAAAATAAATTTTGTAATAAAAAAATTTTTATTAATATTTTTAATAATATATTATTAACTTTTAAAATGATTTAAATCAAAATCTA